CACACAAACGAACACGCTTACATTAATTTAAATATATAGATATATTTATATATAATTTCACAATGAGCGCGCGTACACGAACACGAAGACATGCAAACAAACGAAGCACACTGACGATAACAAACCTACAGTCCTACACGTGTAGTTAAATTTCAAATACAACCTGATGTTTCTTAAGAAAATAAACGAAAAAGCAATTTTGCTCAGTAATCGAGATTTCGATTCAACTGTGTAAATCAACGGGAAGTTTTTTTGACTATATCATCATTATTGTCCTCATCACTTGCTTGCCCCATGTCAACGTTTCAACTATCACATTATCAGTTTCATGATTTTTATAACTAATGTTAGTGTCTTTAACACTTATAAATATCACCAATATAGCATTTTAATTTTGAACTTTTTAATTATAACAAAATTCACTGTTTATTTTGTCACGTTTTATTAAAATACTCAATTTCTTTGGTCTCCTTACTGTTTTTATCAGCATAGCTTAAACCTTCATCACCTTATGACAGGATAATGCTTTCGCGGTTAATCTCAACCAGACAACCATCATTAACACCCACAGTTATCACCCCATGTCATTCAGATGTTTAATCACACGAGCAAATATTTGTACGTATCAAATAACAAAAAGCGGAGAGCAATCGAAGAACAAAATTTACACAAACAACGACATCATTGTAAACCCCATTACTATCAACTTGCAGTCAACAACAAAACCTGAACAACAACAACTACTACTACTACTAATACTACTACTACTACTACTACTACTACTACTACTACTACTACTACTACTACTACTAGTAGTAGTAGTAGTAGTAGTAGTAGTAGTAGTAGTAATAATAATAATACTGCTACAACAACAACAGCATTAAAACACTACTAATACTACTACTACAACGACAACATTAAAACAAAGGATAAAATATGAAAAATACAAATGCCGTGCTCTTCATTAGCTTTGACACCAATAGCACATAGCAAATAAATTCACATAAAAAATGAAATAAATTTAAATTTGAAACATGCTAGGGAAAAAATTTTAAAAAAAATGAAAACGCAAGTAAACAAAAAGAAACAAATTCAAAAATAATCCAGAGACTCGAGAAAGATAATACAAAGTGTGACGGGCGGTGCATAGGAAGAAGTATTTTTCACTAACTTGCATCAGATGACCGCTTCTTATTTTTGCTTTCGTTTCAACTGCTCAGAAAAACGATTCTCTTGAATTAACCTAAATAAACGGCAAAATGTAGTAGGAGTAGATACTGTCACAAAATAAAAAACACGTCAGTCGGCAAACACTGCGGTCAAAATTGTAACCAAAACGTTACCAACTGCCATAGTTGCAACAATTAACTCAGCAAAAAACATATAACACAGTCACATTAAAAACATTAAAACCACTTCACAGATCAATCAATTTGCCCAATTTTTAAAAATTCAACTGCTTTTTCCGAACAAGTATCAAGAAGTGCGAACTAAAATGAAAGAAAAAACAATAAATTTATACAATAATCAACAGAAATAATAAGAAATATGAGAGTAAACAATATAACGACCACAAACACCGCAAATTCAAACTCTTCATTTCAATACATTTTTGATCTCTATATGTTTAAACAAATTTTTTTTTTTAAATTTTGAGATTTATTAAGAGAAAGAGAAAATCTTAGAAAACAAAGCATCTTAATATGTTTTTTTTTATTTAGTAATATTTTATACACAAAATTTTAGCATCGCTAAAAAAAGTTGTAAGTTTCTTTGAATTAAACTGGCGAACACTAATCCACAAATGCATTGAATGTCTGTCTAATCTTCAAGTAATGATCCAAAAAAATGTATTTTCTCTTTCTAAATAATAAGCTGTTAGATGAATCTGTTTCTTCTTCAAAAATTTACGTCTGATTACACTTAGTATTCATCTGCCTGAAATTTATGCGAAATAAACTGGAATTATTTTCCATAAACAGGTGTTTGGTTGAAAAAATTTTCATAATATTTTCAAAGTATTTTCAAAGTTTCTCAGTAAAATTTTTTGATTTTTTTCTGATAACGCATAACTCATAATTAGTTTATTAATGTATGAAAGCAAGAAGGTTGTTTCATTGAAAATTTCAATAGAAGTAATTCTGAAAATTAAATAAGATATCAGTACAAACAGATTCTGAATTGTCCAACAAAACACTATCAACACTCTGCAACATATTTATTCTAATAATCAATAAAACACCAACATTCAGCATTTGCAAACTTTAATAATTTTCTCTAGAACTTTCAATTAATTGGACATAATAAATTTTTTTGTAACAAACAAAATCACGAATTCAACAAACAAACGTTGTTCTTTTTTTTATACACGGAACTGCAATAAAAATAAAATCAACCCCAGATGATATAAAACTAACTCACAAAATGAGGTTTTTACACGGAAGAAACAGCAAACCCAAAAATGTATAAATATACATTTTTCATGGTTGTACTGTATGTACTGAGGGCCCCTATGAAATTGGAACGCTACAAATCCAGATAAGTAATAAAAGTCAACCTAATAAAATACTTAACAACAATGCACTGACACGTAAACCGGCAGTATGAAGTAAGAAATACATACAATAAACATAAAAGTTATTTAAAAAATAGATAAATAGAAATACTCGTTTAGCATATTCTTAAAAAATTTCTAGAAATGTCAATCGTTTTCAAAATTTGCACTTAAAACATATAACTCTTTTATTTCATAATTTTTTTTTAGTCTGAAACAATTAAATACAAAGTTATAAAAGCAAAACGATAGAGAATCAACTCCGAATATATCAAATACATGCTCAGATGAATCTATGAACAATGGCAAGGACAATACCCACAATACCCACAAATAAGTAAACAGAGCAATAACAATCACATTAACAGACACAACTTAAATTTTTTTCTGAACTTGCATTTATTTTTCAATTAAATCAATTTATAAAGAATCGCAACATGTCACTCAACAGTAGTAGTCAAGTCTTGGCGGTGATCCTGTTCGATGGAAAAGATCAAACAACCCTCACCAGCCTTTTGAAGCAGTTCCATTTACAGGTTGTTGTTGCGTTTGTGTTGTTGTGTTGTTGTATTACTTTTGTTTATGTCTGTTTGTTTAACGATTTATTTTGTCTGTTTTTTTTGCTTTTTTTCATTTTATTTTGTTGTTCAGTTTTTTTAAATATAATATTTTATCACATTAAAAGTGTCTACTTTGAGATTATCTTTTTTATGTTCATATTTGCAACTGTGTTTCTTGTTTTCATTAAATTTTTGGTATGAAAATTTTTTTATAATGAAGTTGCCATTTGCGAATGTTCCTTAATATAATGCCAGTTAATGACATTTTTCATGAGTTGGTTGCGTGATGATGCTTCTGATGATTATGTTGGGGATGTTCTTCGTGTTCTTATTTTTCGGTTCCTATTTTGACATCGTTATGTTTTGCTAATGTTGTTGTATTTATTGTTAATAATGTTGTATCCGTCGTTGTTAATGTAGTTGTATATTTCTCGTTAACGTTTTTAGTGTTGATGTATTTTTTGCTGATGTTGTAGAATGTGTTGTCAATGTAGTTGTACATTTCTCTTTCATGGTTTTGTTGTTGCTGTATTTGTTGTTGGTGTTGGTGTATAAGTCGTTAATGTTTTTGATGTGTGTTTGTTGTTGGTGTCATTAAAGTTGCTACTAGAAGTGATAATGGTCCGATGCAGCAGGCTAAAAAAATTTTATAAATAATATAGACGTTGTTAATGGCTGTGGGTCGTAATGATGATTACGACGATGGTGACGTTGACGATGAGGAAGATAAGGAGCATAACGGATACATTATAAAAAGCAATAAAATGCCATTTCACTGTTCTCAAAAAGTATTATTAAACCATGTTTATCAAAAACTTTCTATAATGTTAAAACGCTCATAAAAGGTATTGTTATGAGAACGGGTATTAAAAATCTTACCACCAAACAATAATCTCAAATAATTGTATAAAAGCTATACTAAAAGACAATTAGTTTTGCTTATAACTTCTTAAATGATTGCACGGGGTAGCAACATTTGGTTTTTGCTCTCATTTCATTATTTCGTTTTTCAAAAATTTAAATTACTAAATTTTTTTAATAAGATGGAGCTTTCTTTATTAATTTTTTGAAGAATTTTCACAATTTTGTTTTCAATTTAATTTTTAGTCATTATCAAGTACAAAAACATTGAAGAGAAAGTGTTTGTATTTCTTCTTTTTTCACTTTTTATTATTTTATGCTTTCGTTTATTCATAATATTTTTTTATCATCATTTGATTTTCCACCTTTTCCAATTTTCTTTCTTGGATGTGACGTAATTAAAAATTTGAAATGAACAAAAACTCAACGGACGTTGCAGAGTTCAATGATAATCTGCGCTGACTCTACTGCAATGGAATGATCTTTTTCGCTTATTTTTTTTATGCCAGGAAATATGTTAGTAAAAATGATTTACTAAAACGAAACCAATTTAAAATTAAAATTTAAGTATTAAGTTTTTTTAATGCTAAATATATTTCAAGAAAAACAATTTTTAAGCTGAGAAGTAAAATATGAAAAAAAATATCTCCAATGTTTTTTTGATGTGCAATCATTTTTTATATTCAAATCTGAAAAAATAAAGTTGGTTCAATCAAACTTTTTCAATTTTCGCCGACGACATCTTTGTATTTTGAATAAACTGCCTGCTGTCATGCAATATTAATGAAGATTTTGACATTATAAAAATTTCAACGTGAATTATGTTAATCAATTTTCAATTAAAGTCTGGAACATTTTCTTAACATTTTTTTCAATTCCGTATAATCATCTTCTAAAATATTTTTTATTCAGGCGACAGTTTGGAAATATGAAAAGATTCGTGTCAACCGTTGTAAAATCTCAAACTCAAGTACATTTCGTTTAGCAAGAAGCGCAAACACTAACAATACCAACACTAAAATCAACACCCCTAACCAAGACAACAACATCACCAATGACGTAAACATCAACAAAACCTGTCCAACCACGACAACAGCCGTCCAGGTAACCATCCACGTGGTTCATGACGTCATCGATGACTTTAAAAAAAGTCTGGAGACTTCTCTTCTGTCGTATGACATCATCATCCATGACTTGGAAAAGTTAGTTGAACCTGGATGTGCGTCATGAATGTCAAATGTCTTCAAATTTTAGAGTTTAACATTTTGAACAATTTAATTTCAGTTATGTAATTAAAACGACCAAGTTTACTACAAAATAAACCATTACATATAATTATATATCACTCAAAAAACGATGAAGTTCTTCGCCCCAATAACCATTCATCCATAAAAAGTGTTCAACTTTTAAATTTCAATCTTATACGAAGGACATTTCCTTAAGTAATGATTACGAGCTTAAAAAGTTTAATTTTAAATAATACCTAGATACTTAAATAATAAAACGCAGGCCTTTTGCGTTTAGCTCCGCAATTTGAAGGATAAATTATTTTGTGGAAAATAAATTTGACCCAAAAATTTTAAATTTGTTAACTGTAAATTTTGCTGATCAATCCATACACCTATATCCACATTAAAAATCAACAAACAAAGCATCTTTCTCTAACATATTTTGACATATTTAAAAAAGTAAAAAATGATTAAAAATAATCAAATAATCAACAAAAAATAACTTTTCAACTATTACATTGAACCAACATCACAAGTCAATGAATTAAATTTGATAAAGAGTTGTACTATAGAAGATGATTTATAATTGCAAAAAGTTACCTAAGAAGATGCAATGTCAGATGCTCATGTCATAAATTTTTCAATACCAAATGTTACTTTTTCTCATTTTGTAAGATTTTTAGGACATTTTTTCAAGTTATTACGTAAACAGAATGAATGAAAGTCAGAAAATATTTTTACAAAACTTGATGTAACGTATTATAAATTTACATTTTACGGAATTACGTAATGGAAATGGATGGAATTTTTAGTTACAGCACATCAAAAAATTCGTACGGATTATGAACCGTCATCTCACATTAATAAACTGTCAAACTTAAAAAAATTAAACCTAAAAAAATGATTAGTCACAAAAGTACTAAATAATCAGGCACACAAACACTCGTACGTGTGATCGAGCTGTGTGCTGTGCAGGTGTGTGTAGGTTGGGAGAATGTAACTTACACAGTGCAATTAAAACACCAAAAGTTCTTACCTAATGCTCACATTGACAACAGATTAATAACTGAAGAAAGAAATGAAAACGAGAGAGTGAAGAAGATGAAACATCAAAAGCTTTCATCGAGACGACGGAAAAATAGATTTCGAAAGAGAGAGGATAGTTTGAACGATGGTCCGGTCAACAACGTCAATGTTGAAAACGGTGTTAGTGGCAGAAACGGTAGTGGTAATGATACCGGTGGTGGTAATGATGATGATGATGTCACAGAAGAATTAATAAATCGTTTGCTGGGTTTCTACCCAACTTGGCCCGAGGTTTCGCTTTTTTTCTACGAATTTTATTGAGTCATTTGTTGTGACGATTGTTTGTTTTGGTTATAATAATATTTTGTGGATGGTGGATTTTTTAACTTTGTTTATATTATTTTACAGCTCCTTGTTAATTTTTACGTTATTTCACTGTTTTAATTCATGTTGTTGCTGTTGCTATTTTTAATACAAAACAACTAATTTGTTTAGATTTTTGTAGCTGGAATTTGAAGAGTTCGTAAGCCATTTTTCTACCCTGGTACATTTTTTGTATCTGTTGGAGCAGTTGAAATTGAAATGGAAATTGAAATGAAAATGTGATCTGTTTATTTAGCAAGCTTTAAATTGTCAACCAGATTTTAGAATGCCTTGATAGTTTCGTTGATGCTAGTGAATATCTTACTCTCGGAAAATGTTTTTTGTTACTATCACAATTTTTAAATTAGGAAGTTTTTAAATTCAAATATTTTTTCAAGGTTGTTAGTATTAACACAAGAATAACTTTTAATAATAATTTGACATAAATTTAGGAATTTTCTTCTAAGATTTTTTCTTTTTTATATTTTTATGATTTGATTTATTACACTTGCAAAAAAGTTGAAATATTCGGGTAGGTTTTAAATCAACCACATTACTCTCAATATCCTGATCAATTATTTTTTCTCTTATTTTCCTCAAACCAAGATTGAAGGTTGGTTGTTAGAGGTGGCACAAAGTTTTTCATCTTTTGTCAAGTTGGAATCGATAGGGAAAACATTTGAAGGAAGAGACTTGTACGTGCTCAAGGTTGGTTCTCTTTCTATCGTTATATTTGTTTGTCTGCTGTCTGTTTGTATGTCTGTTTGTTTGTTTGTCTGTTAATGTTTTTATCTATCGGTTGTCTGTCTAAATGTTGTCTGTCTGAATGTTTGTATGCAGACAAGATTTTGGTTTGTCTGTCCTCTATTACATCTTGTCTATGTTGACAGTTGGTTCTATCCGTCTGATTGTTTTTCTTTAATTTTGCAAGTTTTCTGTTTGTTAAAAATAGATTCTTTTAATTTGTTTGTTCACTTATAATCAAATAAATCGTGCATGACTTGCTGAGTATGTGCAGGTTCGGTTTTATGGTTGAGGCATGTCTAATTTGTACATGGTAAAAATTGAGCTGTTTTTATAATTTTATTACTGGCTTTTATAATTTGGCTTCTTTGCGTCAAACTTGGCTGACATGCATGCTTTATTCCCTTTTATGGCATAATGATTGATCTTTGTAGAAAAATGCAAATTAAATATTTCTAACTTGAAGCATATCTTTTACATATTGTTGTTAACTTGGATATGCTTCAAATGATTTGTTTTAATGTTAGATTTAAAAATTGGGCAAAAGCAAAAACGTTGCTCAATCATTGGCAAAGTACTTGCGTAGGCACCTCCGTAGCAACATCAAAATGAATAAAAATTACATTATAAATGTCATCAAAATCACAGTTTGAAAATTGGGAAGGCAACGGTTCGGAATCCGGATTCGGGTCCAAATTTCGGGATCCGGTGAGATTCGGATTCGTCAAACCCATCCCTAGAGAATCAGTAATGAAATCTTGATTATCAAATAAAATGGAGGTGAAAAAATAATTAAAAATTTTTAACTATAAAGTGAAAAGAGAAATTTTATAAACTTTTTTGAATCACTGTTAACTTTTCTCAGCACCTTTCTTAGCAACTACACATTAATAATAATTACGCGATAAAACGGCCCCGGGTTTAATCATATAGAACTAAATTGTCAATTGTTATCTGTGTTCTAAGTTACGGTGAAACTTTGACTTTAAAAATATATAATCGTAGGCACGTACCTATGCAGCTTCTATACGGATTCGTACAAATCAATCGTTTGGATTTGGATCCAGATATCAAGAATCTCGATTACTTAGTTTCGTCCCATTCCTAATATAAAACCAGCTTGAAATCACAAAACTGGCAACCAACATACCAGCAACATCAAAACATCACAACAGCCTCGAAAATTTAACGCAATTTATTTTGCAAAAATTTTGAGCGCAAGCGATTTATTTTCATTAATTTGAAGTGCTTCAGGAAACAGATAAAAGCCCGTCTTGCTCGTGTTTCAGGAAATTCGCAATGTATTATTAGCATGGAAATTCATTGATGTTCATTCTTTTTAACTTCTCCGTTTGGCACGAACAGTTTTCATTTGCATCTGCTGATCGCAGTAGCAGTAGGAATGGTGTTGACTTGATTGCGTTTTTAAGTTAGTATTTATTAAAGAAAGATTATTTTGAAAACTTCAATAGTAACGTCAACAACAAAAATACGACTGTTTGTTAAATGTAACTGCTTCAGTCCTTCCATAGCAATAACATTCAGGGAATTTAAAAATAAAAATATTTTGGGAAAAGAAAAAAAAATTCGCCAACAATCAAAACTTTTTCGCAACCTCCATGAAAATTTATTTGTGTCTCGGAGATCGTCAACGGCAATGCTGATGATGGGAATGATGAAAAACATCATCATCCAACGTGCAGAAGAAATTTCAATTCAAATAAAGAGAATTTTAATTTTTTCAAAACTTTCTTTACGGCAGAATCACATTTTTGTCTCTGTGGAAATTACATCAAATTCATAAATAACTCCCATTAAACATTTTATTTTAAATCCACACTTTTTATATTTATTAAATTTTTTGAAATTGCTTCTCTAATTTATGCTTCATATTTTTGGTTAGCTCCATAAAAAAGTCTTCTCTTTCGACGAACTTTTTAGGCAAAAAAATTCATACGTTATAAATTTGTTTTCAAGAAATGCTTTCTTCAGTTTAATTTAATTTTATTGTTCAACTTGTTTAAATGTAAAAAAATTACAAAGTTCAAAAATTATAAATAGTTCTAGCAATAAAAATACCAAATTCAAAATAATGAAATGTATTTGCATTCATACAGTCTCTCAGACGGATTTGAAAATATAAATTGTATTCTTATTCCGAAAGTGAATTTTTTATTTGCATTTGAAATTGAATTTTTCAATCACTTGTCTAAAGCACTCAGAAGTAGCAAAATGATCAGTAGTTAGAGATTTATGGACAAGTTTCAAAGAAATAAAAATTTTGTTGCTTGCAATGAAGTAGAGTGTTCACTGTTCAGCAAGTCATTTATTGAAGAGGTAAGTGCTGATGTCCATGAAGAAGTTAATCGAACTTTGATGTGATGGCTATCGTAATGTTGATGATGATGAAGATGATGATAAGGATGATGATATTGTTGTTGTTGATTATGATGATGATGAGGAAGAGGAGGAGTAATTTACCCTCAACGCCAACAATATTAATAAAAATAATTGCTTTCAAAACAATGATAACAATAATAATGATGATATTGGGTATAATTAAAATGATGATAAAGACACCATTGATGATAATGTGCACAAAAGAAGATACTTTATATAATATTAATGACAGGAGAGCGAGTTATAGCACAATTCTTAATGGCTGTCAATTAATTTGATTCATTAGGAATTCGCAACAGCTTTTATTGTTGCGTTATTTTTACTGCGTATATTATTTACTATCGTATGTATAATGTAATGATTGTTGGTGCTCTTATTAATGTTGGTGATAAGTTTACCTTTTTCAGTTTTTATAAATGTCTTGTTATTGTTGTTAATTCATCTATTATCGCTGATGACTTCCCAACTACATTCTTCTCCAAGGAAAATAAATTAATTTTTTCTTTCATTTTTGTAATTAGTAGTTATTATTTTTTGTTATGAACTATGGAGGTTTTATTAAAAATAGTTTATGCAGTAATTGCTAGCTTTGAAGGTGTAGTTTGTAAAAAAATCGAGTGATTTTTCTATTTTCTTTTGTCTTGTCGAAAAAATTTTTTGAAATTGTCAAGTTGAAAAACATCTCTTTTAATCAGCATTATCACATTAGCCAATTGGGTCAAATTAGCCATCGTCTTTAGCACCTTCATCACATTCAAAATGTTCAACATAGCACGTACAATCATCATCATAATCCTCACCATCATCTCTATCATATTAATCACCGTTAAGACATCATCTTCATCACCGTTGCAACATCATTCTCATCATCATCATTACAATCTCATCACTACCATACAAAAAATAACAGCCATTCCACTATTATCGTTTATTGCACGTTTGAACAAGATCAGAGGCATTAAATCGTAATTCAGTCCTCATCATCAAGCCACCCTTTTCTCCCCACCCACAGATAAGACCACCCACGTTGAAATTTAATGAAACAGAAAATATGAACATCGTGAATGAAAACAAAAACGGCAACTACAACAGTTACAGCACCGCCAACAACGATCAAATTAACAACGTGACATCAATTAACACTTTTACTAAAAACTCAACAAACAACAACAACACCAACAACAACAACAGCATCAACATAATCGACGCTATCAACAACAACATTTCCATAATCACCTTCACCAACAATTCAACATTAAACAATGTTGACTATGATAAGAACAGTAACAACAACAACAAAACCACTACTAACCAAAACATCAGCAACACCAATAGCAACGTCAACACCAATGTAGACAACAACAACACCAACAACCCCAGCAGCGGAAACAGCAGCCTCTATAGAAACACAACCTGCATAACAACGTTATATACGGAGGTTGACGTTGAACGACCAGTGATGTGGCTGGATGGTGGGGTGCATGCCAGGGAGTGGATATCCGTTTCATCTGTTCTCTATATCGTTGCCCAGGTTTGTTGTTGTTGTTGTTGTTGTTGTTGTTGTTGTTGAGGTACGCTGTACTGGTCTCAGTGCTGTCGTTGTTCATTTGCTCATGTCCATCACGTTATTTTTTTATATTTTTTCGTTTAAATTTTTGTTTGTATTTTTTCTGCTGTCAATTTATGAAAAATTACTCTTTTGCGATAAATATTCAAATTAAAATGACAGGACGTTTTTTAATAGAACTGACAAGATGTGTTATATCGAAGATGATAAATCGAAGAGGGAATGTATTTTTTTGCCTGGTGTTTAAATGTTGCCTTTGAGATAAATAAATACCCGTGCATTATTAATGATTGCAATATATTAAACAACACAAAATCAAAAATATAAAATTTCACACAACACGGATGATGAGACGGTTAATTAAAATTTATTACTATCATTTTTTACTAGTTCATTCTAAAACTAGTACGTGTGTGCGGTGTGTGTGAGTGTGTGTGCGTGTGTGCGTGCGTGTGTGTGTGCGTGCGTGTGTGTGTGTTTTGCTTGGTTGATGCTCGTAAATTCTTATCGAATATGACAATGGATGTTGACATGACTGTAGCTGTTGTATTAATTTCTTGAGCACGTGCATGACTTGTTGTGCATGTTCGTTTGTATGGCTGAGGGCATGTCTAATGTGTACATTGTATAAATTGAGCTGTTTTTATAACTTTACGACAAACAACGACAATCCCTTTAATTGAGGCAATCCGACTGAAAGCTCTGACCCTCATGTTTGGACAAGTCAGCGATGATAAATACAAATAGCAGTTGAGTTGCATTGAAACAAAATCAAACTGACATCAACATTCAAAGACGGTGACAAAAATAGTGACAAAACCAACAACAACATTACATCAATTAATTTTATAATTATTAGAAAAATCTCAAAAAATAAAAAAAATAATAATTATAAAAATTAAATAATAAAAAAAATTATTTAGAAACAGATAGTAACAATAACAACAAAAAAGGAATTAAAAACAGCTCCAAAAAATGTTTGAGTTTTAAAATGAAAACAATAAAACTAATTAAATAAATCATGACGAATGCATCTTTAGTTCCTTTGCTCGTTTCATCCATCCATCATTCTGTCATTTTTTATCATCCTTTTACACAAAAGTATTTCCGGAGTTATTTTCATTCTACTGGTAATTCTAATTACGTCTGTTTGACCTTCGCCACTTTCACTGCCACAATCTGCTGCTGCCGCTACTGCTGCTACTGCTACTGCTTCTGCTGCTGCTACTGCTGATACTCACCACCGCTCTTCGTGGAGTCTGGAAATAATTTACAACAGAGTGCAGTGGTTCCAAAAATGAAAAAAAATTCTGTAGTTATTTCAAGTGATCTTATTTATTGGCGTTAATAAAAGTAGCTTGTTAACAAGAATGAGTTCCATTACTCTTGTAGAAAGGTTCACATTTCAAAACAGTGATTTAGAAATTAGTTTCTACTTATTAATTCGATGAATTATTTTACGATCTGAGTATTTGATGACGACATTTTACAAATCGCATAATTTATTTTACATCATGTGTTTAACTTTCCAGATTGTGTTTTGTAGATTTTTATCACAATGTGCTGAATTCAAAGCAAGTGAGCAATCGTTTCATATCATGTCAATCATTTCTAAATTAGTGCAAGCAAAATGTCTGAACATTCAGAAATATCTGAACATGAAAAACTTCAAAGCACACAAAACATTTAAGCACACTCGAATACTTACTTGAAGATGAAGAAATGTTTGAACAAGCAAATGCATTATCATATCCAATGAAGACACTGTTTATCAATGAACGGTTGTATGCTTGGATGAGTGGAAAGATGAATCACTTGTTATTGCCACATGTCTACGTGGCCATAACATGTAACCAGAACAGGTCTATGTTCACTGATAAATGAAAAATGCAAACATTCGTGCCAAAATTGAACAATATTGTGTTTACAATTGAATTTCTTTGAATACAACTTTTATAAATTAAAAATGACCTAGGATGCTTGGTTCGTTCACAATTATGTTTTTATATTAATTTCAATTTTGAACTCTTAAAGCAAACTTGTCACTTCTGATAAATAATTTGACTCTCTCATAATTTGAAAAAACAAAAAGTCGAAGCAAATTTTTCATTCTTTACAAGGCAGATGATCTGTCAAACTCAGAGCTGCTTACATTTTAATCATTCTGCGCTTGCAATTATACTGTCGTGCCGCAAAGACTGTACTTTCCACACCGCACGACTCACATAAACATTATGTTTGCACGCACAGGCACCGCATCGTACGAGTTTCGGACAGACAGTATGTCTGTAATCGCTTAATAGCAGCGGGAGACATGGCACTTTGCTGACTGAGCTTGCTCGGTTGCCCACTGGCTAGTGGTTAGTTCAAATACTGAGTTTCATTTATAAGAGTTTAGTTATTTAAATGAGTGAGTGAGTATCGACATGATAGTTAACAATATCGTAATATCATAAACATTTAATTAAACAAATCATTAATTGAATGTATGTTACCCCGGTCTGCAACAATCTCCCTCCCTGAATATATTTGATTAAACAGACCAATTTTTAAGTTCATGTAACAAATTGCAGGCTTACAGCAATGCTTATCTCATCTTATTAATGAAAATTTTTTCAACCATGTAAACAAAACTTTTACATTTTTGTTCAATTTATCAAAAATGGTATTGTTATTACTGTTGCTTTTGTTATTAATGTTATTATTATTATTATTAATCACTCTATTAGCATTTCCCAAAAGAATTATTACCTATTTTTTTTTAATTTATTTTCAGTCGTTCAGACGTGCATTTGTACGGTTGCTAAATAATCTTGAATACAATTTCAGTTCCTCTGCAAGCGCTCTACTTTGATGAACGAAGCTTGCTTTTGCGTTTCATGTTCACAAGAATATTTCGTTGATTGTTTATCGTGAGAAAACATTCATTCACTTGGATATGGGGCACGTGGAAAAAGTTTTATTGAATTTCGAAACGTTTCACCAATTCTTGTCCAATTTTGCAATCTTTATAAACAAAAGTAAGCAAGCAAGCACCGAAACATATCTTGTTATTCTTGTTAATTTAATATTATTTACAAGATGTTAAAAATATAATTTATATTAATAAAATTAATTAATTACTTTTTAATTAAATTAAATGCAGTTTTAGCTTGCTTGCACGATATATTAAAAACAGTCGAAATGAAAGGGTATTGCCTTTAAATTGAACGTAAACAACTTTTACATAAATCTTGCTTCGTTTCTTGGCTATAAGTGTGTTTTTTCTGTCCGTTTGCCCATTCATTCATTCACTCACTCATTCATTCACTCACTCATTCATTCACTCACTCATTCATTCATTCACTCACTCATTCATTCATTCATTCATTCATTCATTCATTCACTCACTCATTCATTCACTCACTCATTCATTCACTCACTTATTCATTCATTCATTCACATATCCATTCGCTCGCCTATTCATTCATTAATTCAACTATTTTTTTTAATTTAGAATGACATTTTCAAAAATTATTTTATATAAAAAAAATTTACAAAAATAAAATCCCTCAAAAAACGTGTTTCAAAGGCTTCGATGTATAGATGAAAAATAATCAAAAGTCCTTTAAATTTGAAAAATAAATGGCGTAAAGATGGCCTATTCATTGCGCTAATACGCCGTAGAATTACCAAAGAAATCGATCGACCAAGGCAATTCGTTATATTTACATTTTATAAACCCCACTTTGTTAGACACCGAGCTATCTTGTTAACATTAAAAATCTTCATGCAAACGTGCATCTGTAATATCATTTGAACACAACTCTGCAAACATTTTCTGACATCCGCGAGCGAGCGAGGGAAACTTTTCTTTCACATCATTTCCTGGGATTTGTCGTTGAAACTGAAATATGATACCTTATACCTTTCGTTTTCGTTATTGTATGCTTGGTAATTTCAAAAGTTTTATGGGTGATTAATTAAATTTTATAATTTAATTTTCTAGCAATTAACATCGGTGAAAGCATTTTGTAATCACCAGTGAGAAGTTTTTGTTTTTTATACATTCTTTTAACATGCTTATAATCACTTTCATTAAATTTTTTTCTTTAGTTTATAAGATTAAAAAACGTTAATAAGAAAACAAAGTCGGCATCTTTCATTGTCATCAACATCTACTCTGTTTCGTGTCAAACTTATCTGGAAGACAATTTGCGCGAACAAAGTCTGACATCATCATATTCTCCGTCATCATCACGTCGTCATCATCATCATATTATCACATCTCCGTCATCATCACGTCACCGTCATCATATTATCACATCTTCGTCATCATCACGTCATTATCAACCTCCTTGTTCATTTATATTTCATGCACAGCTTTAAATTTTTAGTGATCACAATATTTGTTGGTGTACTTTTTGTACTGTATTAGTTTTTAATGTACCGGTTGACACTATTTATTTTCCTGCTTATTTAAGCTTAAGTTTTTATAAATATAAACTTTTAAATGTCATACAACGTGATAATCAACTGTAATTTAACTGCGTGTCAGTTTGGGCTAAAATCACACCTGAATCCATTTAGTTTTAATTTTTTTTTATAAACATATTGTATTTTTTTCGTAGCAACCTAAGGGAATGTATGTATCAATTATGATGATATAATTAAACCAATGACAAATATGAACATACACGCTTACGCAAGAGGTGACAATTCAGCAGCACATAACTATCATTAGAGATCGACTTTTTACCTTAGTAGGTGAAATAGTGTTAGAAAATTTAATAGCTTATTAAAATGATCTGAGCTTAATTTTTATATATTTTTTTTTCATTACAAACACACTCGCACACACACGCACGCACACGCGTACAAACTTGCCAATCAAGGTGATGCAAATATCTTTCAAATAATTATCTTATGTACATAAGCAGATGTTATATAAAAAACACGTTCATATCGATTTGATTAATTGTAAATTCTTAT